CTTCAGAAATCATTCTAATATGCTGATTTATTATCAGTGCTGGAAACTGTTGCTGCTTCATATTTTTTGGGAACCTGTGATACTTTTTTTCAGGTTTCTTTGATGAATAAAAAGTTAAAAAGAAGAGCATTTAATTAAAATAGAAATCTTTTCTAGCAATATACACTACAGTTCAAAAGTTTGGGGTCAGAAAATGTTTATTCTTTCTTTTCTTTAAAGAAATTAAAACTTTTATTCAGCAAGGATGTTAAATTGATAAGAAGTGATAGCAAAGACGATTTATATTTTGAATAAATGCTGTTCTTTTTAACTTTTTATTCATCAAAGAATCTCGTAAAAAGTATCGCAGTTTCCAAAAAAATATTTGGCAGCACAACTGTTGATAATTCTAATAATAAATCAGCATATTAGAATGATTTCTGAAGGGTCAAGTGACCCTTTATACTGGAGTAATGGCTGATGGAAATTCAGCTTTGCATCACAGAAATAAATTATATTTTAAAGTATATTAAAATAGAGACCATTATTTTATATTGTAATAACATTTAGCAAGATTACTGTTTTTTTTCCTGTATTTATGATCAAATAAATGCAGCCTTGATGAGCAGAAGAGACTTCTTTAAAAAACATTACAAGTCTTACTGATCCCAAACTTTTGACCGGTAGTGTATATATATATATGTATGTATGTGTGTGCATTTATTTATTTAATATGTGTGTTTGTGTATTTATGTATTCATTTAATTTTAAGAAATGAATGTGCAAAACACTGTGTGCTGTTAGAGTTCTTAATATTACAGTGTTCTTCAAACATTCTGATTTAAGTTCAAAGAAAATCTCCCTCTGACTCTCAGAATGTTCAGCGTCAGAATGTAACCGGCGGCGATGATGTCACCACAATATTTGCATACGGAACTGTGAATGACTGATCTTCCCTGCATATTATTAAGCATTTATAGCCACTTTAACTTGATTGTCACAGTACTCAAACGCTCCTCACAGACTTACAGTGGTTCTTCAGCTTTAAGTGCTCAGTTTTGTAATCCAGCAGCGAGGTGTTGTGTGTTTTACAGGAGCCTGGAACAGAGGCGGAGATCAAGGAGTTTGCCAAAGGCTACAATGCAGAGTTTGAGCTCTTCAGTAAGATCGAGGTGAACGGCGACGGAGCTCATCCGCTCTGGAAATGGATGAAGGAGCAGCCCAAAGGCAGAGGAACTCTGGGAAAGTGAGTCTGACTGGTTTGTTTATTCTTAGTTGTCACTTATTCTCTTATGCAAATTTGCAGAAATATCTTTTTTTACGATGAAGGGCTGTGTAATTCTTTAATATATGGAATCGGACATTTTTACTGAAGATGTATTATGTCTTTTTAAATTGATGAACTTACTCTGTAATGCACTGATCATTTGGCATGAAACGGTTTTATTTCCGCAGCAACATCAAGTGGAATTTCACTAAGGTAACACTGCTTTTTTAAATAGTTGTATGTTAATAGATGGTATTTATTCTCTGATTCTCTGACCTCATAACTGTTGTTTTTATCATAGTTCCTCATTGACAGAGAAGGTCAGGTTGTGAAGAGGTATGGACCGATGGACGATCCAAGCGTAAGTCGATAAAAAATAATTTCACCCAAAAATAACATTGTGTCGTCATTTAATCACCCTAATGTCATTCCAAGTCATATAGGTTTGAAGCGGCATAAGGGTGAATAAATAGTCCATCTGAGAAAAATTTACTTGAGAAAATTGTGTTTGTTTAAATGTTTTAAATTTTATTAGGTATAATTACATTTATTTTATTAAATATATTTTTGTTTTAAATTATGGATTTATAACATAATTATAATATACATATGAATTTATTAAATGTAGTAAAATTTAAATAAAATTGTATACAATTTGTATAATGTGTCTGTTTAAAAGATTAGAAATGCATAACATTTTTAAATTCATTGCATTTGTATTTGTTTTAAATTTTATAAAACAAATGTTGTAGATCTATAAAATTAAACAATTATTGATTTTATTAAATTAATTTGTTTTTTAAATTGTATAAAAAATTTTAAATATTTTTCTATTTATAAAAAATGAAGCTACATTTATTAAATTTATTTGAATTTGTTTTAATTTTTATAAAATTGTATAACATTTTGATATTTTTAAAAATTAAATAAACAATTACATTTATTTTATTCATTTTATTAAATGTATAATAATTAAATCTTAAATAAAAAAAAAATTAAGTCCAATGTTTTTTTGTCCCATCAGGTTGTTGAAAAGGATCTTCCCAAGTACCTGTAGCCATTTGGATCAGACCCGATCTCCGTCCCATGTGTTTGTAGATGTGCATCTCCTCTCTGGTCCATGGCTGGATGTTGGCAGGGTGAAGCCCAGATGTGTGACGGCCGTTCCTCAAGCCTGTGCTCAGGTGGGGACGGCCTGATGTCCTCCGGCGTGCAAATTCTCTGGGAAGCCCCTGCGATGTCCAGCCGCTGAGCAGAGAGGAGCTGAACTGCACTGAAATCACTCGTGTATCTGAAGAAGCTTTACTAATGAACAGCTGTAATGATTAAAGAGTAGCGTCAGAACTTCCTGTGTGGCTGCCTCTTTTACAAAGTATGAATGTTTTCCTTTACTAGACTGAGTGATGTTTAGAGATTCAGAATTTTCAGATTAAATCAGGTCATATATGGGAGTGCAGGTAAATTGGGCTGCTTTTTGATCGTCATATTCATGTTGAAATGTGACCCAATCCACATGAATAATTCATAATAGCCCTATTAGTCAGATGTAGTAGTTAAAGCCCAGAAGTTGCTTTTTTCAGTAAATGTTTTATTGTAGTTATTAAAATTATTATGTAATTATATTATTATTTAATTTTATATTAGTATTATTTGATAAATTATTTATTACCTCCCTTGCAAATTCCATTTCGAGAAACCCTGAAATAACTTCATAAATCAAATGAAATTTATTTAAATTAACGAAGTGGAATCATGACTGCTAAAAATCAGCATTAAATACAAAAATAGCTGTAATGCACAAGACTTGACGACATAAATGCATTTTACATTAAAAATGATTTGGATGGCTGATGGCAAATAATGAGATAAAAGAAGGAAATTCACTTTTTTCCCTTTTCATTTTTAATATTTGGGATATTTTGTGAATTTTGTTGCCATTTTTGCCTAGTTATGTTAGTATAATTTATAACAATAGTTTTTATTAAAATTTAGATTTTTTTTTAATACTTTCAGTTTTTATTTATTTATTTATTTTGTAGTTTTATGCTTTTGACTTTTTTTAAGTATTACTATTTGATTAATTTTTAGTTTTTCTTTTTTTTTTTTTTTTTTTTTTTTTTATATTTCCAGTTAGTAAGTTTAGTAACAAAAAATATTAATGTTGCTTTGATAACTAACTGAAATAAGAAATAAATAATTTTTCTTCTTAAATGTAATTTTATTTCAGCTGTATTATAACAAAAATGTTTTGTCAATTTGCTGACCCTTCATGCGGATTGTCCCCTCTAAGTGTCTTGATAGTCACCTTGAATAAATAACTATAGTTGATAAGCGTCTTGAACGCGTGTGTGTGTGTGTGTGTGTGTGTGTGTGTGTGTGTGTGTGTGTGTGTGTGTGTGTGTGTGTGTGTGTGTG